CAGTTTAAATTCACCGACAGCCGACAACCGACTTGCCTGGAGGTAGAAAAACTAAATCCCAAGTACCACTGCTCTGAAGTGCACACATTTCATCTAGTATAGCTTGTCGCCACCCATGATGGGATAAAGCTTCACTTGGAGATTTAGGGATAGACACAGAACATAGGGATGAGAGACAAGCATAATGCAAGAAAGACAACTGGTGATAACTCAATGTAACATAATGAGGAGATGGGTTATGAGTAGACCGTATACCTTTCTAGAGAACAATAAGAAGATTAGGCTTTGGAGACAGGTCCTGAGTTGGTAAGGGAGTCAGTGCCGGATGAGAGTCTGCAAAGATCTTAGCAGTAGGAGGAGAAGGTGGGGGATTAGGAGGTAGAGTTGTGTGGCGATGATAGACTTGGAGTGGGCAAGGAGGAGGTGTAGGAGGTTCAATACGAGGAGGTGGAGAGGTATCTAGCTTGGCTGGAATAAGAAGAGGAGAAATAGGTAAAACCTTAGATATAGGCTCAGGGGTCGAGGGAGATGACTCAAAGAAAGAAATGGATTTAAAAAATGTTACATCCGTTGAGATAAGGTAATGTTGAAGAGTGGGCGAGAAACAATGATATCTCTTATGAGATTGAGAGTAAACAAGAAAGATACATTTAATGGATCGGACTGAAAGTTTGTCAAGACTAGGACTGAGATTATGAACAAAACAAGTCGAGCCAAAGATACGAGGAGGAAGGGAATGCAGAGGTTGATGAGGAAATAATTAAGAGTGAGAAATCTGGTTATTAAGTACAAATGAGGGCATACAATTAATCAAGTAGCAAGCAGTGAAAACTGTATCGCCCCAAAAACGAACAAGGACATGCCTATGAAGGAGAAGGGTCCTAGTAGTCTCTACAAGGTGGCTATTTTTGTGTTTAGTAACTCCATTTTGTTCAGGAGTACGTGCACAAGAAGTTTGATGGAGAATGCCATGAGAAGACATATTGTTGAAATGGTTGAGATAAATATTCGTGAGCATTATCACTATGCAAAGTACGAATGGGAACACTGAATTGAGTTTTAATTTCTTGATAGAAATTTTTTAAAAATAGAGAACAATTCAGACCGATTTAGCATTAAAAATATTGAAGTGCAATGTGAATAATTATCGATAATAGTAACAAAGTATTTTGACTTTAAAGTAGAGACAACTTGACTAGGATCTCAAACATCAGAGTGAACTAAGGCAAATGGAGACGTGGCTCAATTACAGACTTTATTTGGAAATGAGGTACGAGTGTGTTTTCCTAATTGACATGATTCACATGGTAAATCGTTTAATTTGGAAAGACTTGACATCATTTTCTGTAATTTAGCGAGGCGAGGATGACCCAATTGAGCATGGATGGTGAGAGGGGAAGTTGTGGCAGAGCAAACTTGAGAATGGTTGGAGAGCTGGTAGAGGCTATGAGACTCACATCTGGTGCTAATCATCCGTTTCGAACTCCAGTCCTGTAGAAAAACTAAGTCTTTAGTAATGTAATGACATAGTTAAGGGAACGAGTCAAATGACTAATAAAGAGTAAATTAAAGGGACACTCAGGAACATATAGTACAAAATCAACTTTCAAATATGGAAGGGGATGGGTAGTGCCAATTCCATGGGATTGCGTTTGAGAACCATTGACTAATGTAATGATGGGTAAATAACTAGATTGAGAAAGGTTAGAGAAAAGAGATTTATTACTAGAAATATGATATGATGCTTTTGAATCAAAAACTCAGGGCCCAAGGGATGGTGACTGAGAGAGACAAGCAATAGACTTACTCGCGTGTGCAACAAAAGTAGTGAGCTAGATATCTGTCGTTGCTCAAACCATTTTAGAAAAGTTTCATAGTTGGTTGGAGATGGTTGAGATTGATCTAAGAGTTCGGGTGCATCTGAAGGAATAGTCTATGCCACATTACCAGTCCGTGGGGGTCGACCATATAGAGTCCAGCACTTGTTAATAGTATGCCCCAAGTGATGACAATGATCACACTTGGGACGGGTTTTACTAGAGTTATTTTCTCGAGAGTGATCACAAGTATTATTCTGGGAAACAAGAGCTGTGGTTTTGCTAGGATTAAGAGTAATTGAATCAAATGACTGCTTAGTTGGAACCTGAAGCAAAGGGGGACCAAGCTGTGGATAATGTTGGGACAATGGGGAACCCAAAATCTGATTGCAATTAGCAGAGTATTCTGGAGGCAAACCATACAGTGCTAATAGCATAAAGAACATACTTCTTTGCTCAAGTTCTTGTGCTGGAGTCTTTGCGTGAGACAGCAGTTCATTGAAATTGTGCAAAGCCCCATGAACCTTGCCTAAGTAACTGGACATAGGACCCTCAAACTTCTGTGGTGCAATGATGCTCATAAGATCATGATAAACCTTGTAAAGTCGTTGAGTATCGTTAATATAAAGAACCTTGCCTTGTGTCCAAACGGATTCACAAGTGAGATGAGCACGGAATATCTCCTTCAAGCAAGAATGAATAGTGGATTTTATTATACTGCATAGTTGGGTATCAATCTTCTTCTATTTGGTTTGTTCCTCAGTAGGTACAGATTCAAACTTTTTGGTAAGGTGATCCTCGTAACCTTGTCCAGTAAACCATAACTTAATGTTAGAGGCCCAAGTATCGTAATTGCTTCCATCTAACTTATCATTAGAAAGAAGAGCATTGACATAATTGGTGAAAATAGGAGGCTTAGCCTTCGAGGAGTCCTTGAAATCAGAACTAGTTTTAGAAGCATTAGCCATGGTAAAAAAGATGGTTTAGCAAACTTGGTTGTGCTTGGTTGGTTCAAATAAAACCGGTTTGGACCGGCCGGTTCAGTATAGATTTTTGCAGAGTAGCCAGCTCAGATTGTCCAATTCAGATTGTCTGGTTCTGAAAACCCTAGATAGTAGCTTGTCCTTCAGCCTTGATTGCGACCTTCACGCTGAGATTTGGGTCTTTTTCTAGTTGCAGTCTTTTGCAGTTGCAAAAGATCATCGATGGTTGGTGATTGAGGAAGTGTTGCGATCATGACTCTCCTAGCAATCGCTAGGGCTTCGTCGACGAAGACCACCGATTTTGAGAAACAGAGATCGTCAATCTAGGTGAGATGGTAGATCTTACGATTGACAGATGAGATGTGCAAGATCTGAGAGCCAATGATCCAAATTTGAACAAATCATGCTTTGGGTCTAGCCAGAAATAGGAAGATGACACCGACGGAAGAGAGAGAAGTTAGACAGGAGTCAATGCGTGTAGTCACGTGCATTGAAAAAAAGGGTTGGTCGGTGGCGCGTGGATGTTTCAACTGTAATACTGTTCCGGCCGATTGCTCCAATGAGAACCAGGAGCAAGGATCTGGATTGAGATTGGAATAGTAACGATGGTCGTGAATAGTGAAACCCTAACCCTAATCATATTTTTGATCTTGCCTTGGTGGTACCATGTTTGAAAGAAGAATTCTTATTTCCCTCTCTATGCATTTTGAATAATACAAGGTACATATATATACACCAATCTCTTATACTAATAAGGAAAAGATCTATAATTAATAAGGAAATGACCTACGTAAAAAGAAATCTATAATTGAGCTAATCAAGCCTATCTATATTAGAAAGTCAATATTAACTTTCCATAATATACATTAACAGTAGCTACCCTTTTACACAAGCATTCAAGGAATTGAATCCTTAAAATGTTGGGATTGCCATCAAACACACTGGCATGTACTAAACCTGATTGTTTTATATTTCACTGAATTTGTTTATTGTTCCTGGAGGAAATGAACATCTCTTTGGCTTTCTTTAAGGAATCAATTTTTTCTTTAAGCTTCCTTTTGTTATTCATTCTTTAGTGAGAGTTCTTCTCTTGGGATTCTTCACAATTTGTCTCAATAGTTAATTTAGCGTAGTCCACATAATTTTGACGTCTTGCCTTAATTTCTTTCCCAATTATCTCCTTGTCCTTCACTTTCTATTGTTAGACTAGCACCTGTGAATATAGGATGTGAAAAGCATTTGAAGTAGAGGGGAGAGAACTTAGAGACTCTGTTACTCTACCTTTTTCAACTGTCTCCCAGCCTCCCAGCAATCAGTATTCATTATATTATTCTTGAAGCTTCTACCCATAGTTGGACTTCATGTTTCGTTTAACTCTTCCCTTCGCCTCAATCTGGCTGCCAACTAAACTCTTTAAGTTTTGGTTAGACTTCATATTTATGTGAAATGTCTTAAAATCTTACAATATGCAAATTTTATAGTATGAAAAGGAGTTTGAAACTGAGTTGTACAGCCACCCAATTGTCACAAATTACCCTTTGAAAAGATAGGAATGATGCTATCTGCTGGAATCTAATACAAACTCAAAACATATTTGAGTTACTCAGGATGTAGTCGGTTCATCCATATAGGAAGAGTATTATGCAAATAGGCCATTTTCCTTCCTTGTTACTCGAGGGAAATTTGACTGTTGGGAAGGGGGGGGGGACCTTATCAATTTATATAGTCTCTCCAGCATTATTATCCCAACATCTAACAACCAATCTTTTGATATTTTGGTAAAAGAAAGGTTGTGAACAGAGTATCCTTGTCTGCATACCCCCATAAGGAGTTGCCTTCCTTTGAAATACTGGAACTTATGTATATAATATCTCATTCTTCTCTCCGCAGTTGTTTGTACCTTGAGCTGAATTTTTCTTTCAAAGCCATCTTGCTAGTAGTCCTGAGATGAACTCCAGGTAAATAGCAGCTGTTTCTGTTGTTGCAGATGAATTTTTTCCTACTTTAAAATAAGAACTAGATAGACCTGTCAACTTGGAAACTCGTTATAGGTCCTTTCTCTGGATAATTTTAATGTTTCCATGACTTATTTTATATTAGTTTCACATTGACCTTTGGTGTTTGATCATTATGGAGAAATGTAATTATCACTCTGCAGCTTTTATCCTTTCTACTGCATCAGAAGGCCACAGTAATGTCAATGGATGTACATATAATATGAATCATAAATCAAAGAAAACTGGTTTATTTTCACATTAAGCCAGTGATTCCAAAATTTTGTTAAAATCTTTTCATGTGCATTTACCCACCATATTTGGCCAGATATTAAGGGAACATGTTGCTTGCAGACTTTTGATCTTTGGCATGATTGAATAGTTGGTTTCAACAAGTATAAGATTTTTAACAACTAGAAAATTAAAGGAAGAAAATTTTCATAGCTGTGGCCAAAATATGGCTCTTACTCTTGGATGTCTGCCTGCTTTGTATTTTACAATATCTTTTATATTTATTAAATTAGTAAACAGATTTATCAAAACTTCCATGCAGGGAACGTTACAGAGAACTTGTCAAACAGTGCCAGATGATGCATTCTAGCATAGGAACTGGCTCCCTTGCCTACGTTGTGGGTTCAAAAGTCATGGATATGAGAACAATGTTCAGAAGTGATGGAAGAAGGGAAGCTGAGGTCAATGATAATCTCATTTCAGATGATACGAACAATTTAGAGAAATACAGTGAATGGGATCATAATTGTACAGATACACCATGTGCATGTGAAAGGGAAAGCTCCAGTGATTCTGCTGACCTTGTCAGCGTGAGGGAAAGCTTAGATAGTGCAGTATATGACTCATCTGGTTTCATACCCTCCTCCAGTCCATATAACTGCCATTCCCCAAAACTTGGGAGTTCAGCTTGTGGATCGGAATTTGTAACTGAAAATTATTTTGATTTTCCTCCATTACCTGTTACAGATTTGTTTGAGAAGCGTGACAAAGATAGAGAAGGAAGTGAATTGCATGACAGTAGACTTTCTACACGGCGTAAATTGCAATTTGAGGATGAGCATATGCACAGTTTTCAAATTAATAACAATATAGATCTAATTATGGAATCAAATGGTTCACCATCTAACAATGTCTCACAGCCTATTAATTGTGAAATTGAGATGGGTCCTCCTAATGTCCAAAGAGTATCTAGGTCCAATAATCTGGAATACAAAAGAGAGATAGTAGACAGACTAAGAATATCTGATGTGCCAGAAACACCCATGATAAATGCAGGGACATCAGAAGGTGGTGTCATTAGTGAAGAAAGAGTATCTGAGTGGCTTTGGACATTGCACAGAATAGGTAAATTGGTGCTTTTCCTGCAATATAATGTTTGGATTTATGTCTGTTCCTCTGGTCTAACAAGTTTGTTTTCAGTTGTTGATGTAGTTAGAACCGATAGTCATTTAGAGTTCTATGAGGATACAAAAAATTTAGCTCGAATGTCAGATATTCTTGCTGTGTATGCTTGGGTTGATCCTGCCACTGGTTACTGTCAAGGTTGGTGACTCATCTTTTGGCTGAACTTTTTATATCAGTGCCTTGTTCATCATGGCATAGATGAATGTGTAAGTCAGTCTAAGACATTGATTACTTTTGTTTTAACTGAATAACTTTTTAGGTTTGAGCGATTTGCTCTCCCCCTTTATTGTACTTTTTGAGGACAATGCGGATGCTTTTGGTGCTTTGAGATGCTTATAAGGAGAATGGTATATCGGAGCACACTATATTTATGAGTTTGGCATGTGTCTTTTTCTTTGTCAAATGTGTATTTGTTTCCTTATTCATTGTTTTATGCTTACAGCGCAAAAATTTTCAAATGGAAGGACCAACTGGTGTGATGAAGCAGTTGGAAGTGCTCTGGCGAATTTTGGAAGTCACGGACAAGGAAATATTTGCTCATATTTCACATATAGGTGCTGAAAGCCTTCATTTTGCTTTCCGGATGCTGCTTGTACTTTTCCGGCGAGAAATATCTTTTAATGAGGCTCTCCGTATGTGGGAGGTTGGTGCTTGGAATTAGTTTTTCTCATCTAGTAGATTTGTAATATTAAGAAATTTTAACTGGATAGACAATTTAATAAATGATCAGATTCTGGAAATGCTGATATGTGATGGACAGAAGAACATTCATTAGATTGTGGCAGAGGTCAATATGCTCTTTTATATTAATTGCATGTGCTAACAGGAGAAGATTCTTAATGTTGTTGAGGTTAACAATTTTTTTTCTTAACCCCTTTTTGAACTCGTTTTTGAAATAGAATGATGCAGACTTGTCAGTTGTCTACAATTTGTCATAGAAATAGAAAACCTGGTTCCTGCTTCGAATTTGCATTCAATTTGAACTACTTGTGGAGATATAATATAGGAAAAAGGGGAACTGGAATGGAAAAAGGTTTAAGGATAGTAGGAATATGAAAAAATTGTACTTAATAAGAACCATGAGATGAATGATAGACTACATGCATTCACTTCTGTATATAGGTGGTTACCTTTTTCTCTAAGTGATATACTGCAAGACCATATATTTCTTGACCCAAGTAGGGAACAAGTATAAAGTGAAACAATAAGCAAACCACATTGTTTTGTAGCATCAATCCAGATTTTGCTCTACTTGTTTTCACCCTTTTTACTTTATAATACAGCAATAGCGATGATGCAGATATGAGTGAAGTTGCTGCAATTGTTGTTTTGGGAAAACATTAAGGGTCATGGAGTTAGAGCTGTTGTAACTTGGAAACCATGTTTGACAAATTTAATTTGGATGATTTCAAATGTCAGAAATTTTAGCTATCCTTGCATTACTTTTCTGTATCATTATCTTATCTGAAAGTATATGAATTCCTTTTGTCCTTCTTATTGCAGATGATGTGGGCTGCAGACTTTGATGAATCTGTGGCTTGCAATTTAGAGGAGGATTGCCTGGAAGCACTTGTAATACAGATGCCAAGAGAATCAGGTGCTGAAACAGGGGAAGAAAGTGTTGAGAATGAAAACAGCAATATAAAAGGTGTTTTGCAGCCAAATCAAGGAAATACAGATCACTCTAATTTTGAAGACAATGCAATGAAATCAGTATCAAACCATCCCTTTTGTGGATTAACTAGGAATTTCTGGTCAAAACATGACAGTTTACAGATGTGCACAGAGGTATCAAGGAATGGTGAAGACGAATTACCTGTATTTTGTGTTGCGGTGATTCTTATCATGAACCGTCAGAAAATCATCAGAGAAACTCGTTCTATAGATGATCTGATAAAGGTAAATCCATAATGAATTTTCAGTTTTATAGGTTTGTTATTCACTTGTGTCTACAGTAACTTTGTTATTGTTTTGGCTTTCAGTTACCATGAGTTACCAAACTGAAAAATGTTATTCAAGTAATTCACCAATTTTTGTTTCAGGGCTTTTCCAGAAGTCCGTTACAATGAGCTTCTAGATCTTTGACAGATTAGGCTCTTATCTAAACAATCAACTATGAAAAGCCCAAAAATCGATACTTGTAGTTGTAAAGACTAGTCTGACCTTTTGAGGGTCCAAATATCAGTATCTGGTATGGACTATGGTATATGTACCATAGATCAATTGACACACCTATAGGAGTGATATGATCCGTGTGGAAAGTGGTAAAAGAAAGAGATGAAGGCCAATAAGAAACATTGTTGAGGTGCTAAGGAATGATAGAACTACCTTTAATAATTTCACAGGGATATGACTCCAAATATAACCAGCTGAAGGAAATAGATCCATTTAGTAGGCTCCACATGATGTGTAAAGGCTTGTCATTGAAGTGTGCATGAATTTTCTAATGAAGCAAGATACTCTGTAGTTCTGGGATAAACTGCACTCCTATTTTGGCCTGCCGTTTCCAATAGAGTGGCCCAGGTTTGTCTGGCTAAAATTACTGCACAGGTCACTGAATCTATAGCAGTATTATGACACAAACGAGCTTTTCTATATCATGTTAAAAAATAAAGATGTTAATGTCTGAGCCTGTTTCCATCAATACAATGATCAATATCCCAGTGATGAAAGATGTCTATTGATCATTATGCAAACTGGCACAATTTCAAGCACTTGTTTTTGCAATGGCTAATATACAGAAATAAGAGAGATATCAAAGTCATGCCAATTATATGCCTTGATGTTATGGTTTGTGCTATTATGAAGCTGCCAGAGAGAGTGACCAAGCATATGTTAATACTTAAACAATAATATGATATAATTAATTTGCTTTTGTGCCTTGCACTTCCATGATTGAAGCAATTTATCCTTGAGGAGATTAATTAAATAGTAGTGGGGGAAAAGATTTTCATGTGTATTTTTGGGAATTTGGAGAAAGTGGATTTAGAAAAGCCAAGTATGTTGGAATGATGGCCTCAGCGAGCATTTTTGTACTGCAACCTTGTGGTTTTCCTAGCATTGTCCAAGAGTATGCATCCGGATTATATGCATTTACAATAGCCATGGATGAAATGCCTAATTTACAAGGGAGTGCAAATAATGTTGTCTTAACGTATACTATATAGAAAAAATAATGGTAAATACTTTAAAGATTGGTTGAAAGCTTGAAATCAAGAGGGATTAAGAAAATTAGGACAAAATAAATGTCTAAGATGCAATTTGCAAATAATATGTTATTAAGTTAGTAGGAAAGGTCATAAAATAACAAAAGCTGAACAATTTTGATATACAGATTAAATATGTATATAGAGGGAGAATTTGATTTTGATAATACTTGTAGAATTAAGACATTATGAGCTAAATGGATAGCACTTCAAAATTTTTGTTTGATTGAAACTTCAAGTAGTTAGGAAAAGATTTAGTTGACTTAGGATGGATCTTAACTTTATGAATATGCATATGCATATGGACAGGAGAAACCTCATGCCACGTTCATGCTGATTACCCTCAACTTTATGGGTTTTCTGGAGTCAGTTCATTTCTTAGGCTATCCTCTTTTGAATCCCAACTACTTTACTGCATCCAAGTTTAAATTTAGGCTTTGAATCTTGCTTGTCATACTGTTTTGTTTTGTTTCTCTGATTTGTCAATTTGTTTGTATCTTTGACAAAGACTTCCTCTCCCCTTTCCCCATTTAGTGAGTCAGGAATGGTTTTCTAACATGATTTGTGTTGCAGATATTTAATGACAGGGTGCTTAAAATAAGGGTCAAGAGATGTGTAAGAGCAGCAATCAAACTTAGGAAGAAGTACTTATACAAGGTTTGGAGCAATTTTATCACTATTAATTTAGCCATGCCATTGTGATTTGATTTTGCCTGACTTCATACAGACTCTCTAATTGATCCTTGTGATGTATTTTAGTGGACTTATGCTGATTTGTTTGTTGAGTTTAGTATATTTTGTTCTTTGAATTGACGAATATCTTTTTTTGAAAGTAATACTGAAGCTCAATTATCTCTCTTTTTATTTTTTATTATTTTTATTTTTTTATATGTATGATTATTACTTGTGGAAATTAATACGTGCAACTATTCATCTGTCAATTGCAAGTAGCAAAACACCAATGTAGACAAATATATGGCATTTGATAACATATACATAATTATGGATACATAAAAAAAATTATGTTGTTTTTGATTAGTAGAGACATCAGTATTTAACAAAGTATAACAATATTTTTTTGGCTATTGTTGATCTATCACAATTTTTTGAAGTATAATTCAATGGACATGTGGCAAGTGAGGCCAGTCCTGATCCACTGTGCTTCCAAAATATAAATCTGGTAACATGGACAAATAAGCATCACTAGGAAATTCACTTTCCTTCTTATAGTAATTTCTTTTTTTTGGTCCTCTTTTTGAAATGTCATTCCTCAAACCCGTATCCTATTTGAAACAGCTGATCAAGAGTGGGAGTCCTTCAACTCAGCAATGAAAAACCAAGGCAGATTGGTTTCCAGTATGCTAGGTAAAGGCTAGCATTGCTGGTGGCAGAAGTCAGTAACTGAAGTTTCAGGTTGCAGTGTACAACTAAAGTTCGATTTTTATGCAAAGGATTTTGGGGCATCAAAGTGCTCGTGCTGTTTAAAGATTCATCCAGACACGGCCATTGTCTTCTTTGACTTTATCACTTTGTAGAAGCTGTTTGAACTGATGTAACGGCATAAGGTTTTTTCTTTCCTTTTCTTTTCTTTTCTTTTTTTTTTTTTGGCTAAAATAGATTCAAGGGTGGGTTCTACCTACGTAGGTTCAGGATCAAGATCAATTGTTAATTTTGTAAAAGTATGTATGAATAATATATAGAGTTATTTAGGAGGATTGATGGTGGAGGCACAGCTTGTATTTTGTGCAAATCGGGAAAAAGGGAAATGTGAAGGGAAAAAGGGAAATGTGAAGGACAATGCAGTTTACCTGCAATAGAAATCTGTCACGTTCACTCTTGAACTGGTGAATATTTGACAAAATTTTCGCAAGCCTGTAATTGTAATATGGTCTTTTGCTTTTTATACTGTAAAGTCTGGACCTTTTTGCATCCATATTTTGTCCAATTTTAGATTGATGATAAATGTGTCCGCAAGCCCCATAGTTATGCTCTTTTTCTTTAGATCCTGGGATTGATAGCATGCTGTATCAATGTTAGAGCATTAGACCTTGCTGAGTATATGTTATGACCCTAATCAGAAATATTAGGGAATTTAAATTAATAATTTGGATTAGGGGGCTCAATTGCTTGGAATAGAAGTTTTGGGGGCCAATTGGTAATCAGGAGAGTTGGGGATCAAAGTTAAAAGGGCAAGGGTGCAATTGAATGAATTAAAGGAGTAGGGTCAAATCAGAAATCAGGAAGGGGCAATGTGAAGAAAACAAAATTTTGGGGATCAAATTTGGACATAACACAAAATTTTAGATGAACAGTGCCATATCTGTGCATCGCCTCACTGTCATGATTTGCCATGATTTTGGTGGAAAAACTTGTACAATTTGATTGTTTTAAGTAGGCAAGCAGCACCTCTCTGATTTCATGAATCGTGAGCAAGAGAGGGAGATTTTTGGCTTGGGTGTTAATGGTTGGACATCACGGACCATCGGGGGTAAAATCTGAATTTTTAGGCCATTTGAGCTCATTTCTTTTCGATTAAAACTTTTGATCCAACTCACCCATCTCAGATCTTTAAGTTGTATAAGTTGTGGAACTCGAGTTTTTATCTTTTTTTGGGTTGTGCGTTTCGAGTTTTCGTTGCAAAGGAGCAGGTCCGTTCGTCTGGGTGAAGAAGAAGGGACCCGGATGGATTCGAGTCCTGTGTTGGGTCGGTCCGGGCTATTAGGCCCAGACTCAGCTCAGTTGTGTTGCAGGGCCGCGGGCTGGCCCAAAAATTGGTTGGGCTGAGTTGACTCACTGAGTCAACTTGGCCCAATGGGAAAGAAAAAGAAAGGATTGAACATTCACTAAATCGACCAGGGTGTTTGACAAGTCGGTTTCGTGGTCTTTTTGACTCGGATTTTTGAAGTTGAACTAGTTCTGGATTCAGGAGGATAAGATCTGTTGGACCAAGTTAGTTTGAGGGTTTGGGGAGGCCTGGTTTGACCAAAAATTGGGTGTTTTTGACTGAACCAACTTGGTTCAGGCTAGTTAAAGGGTTCAAGTGGCCGGTTTAGCCTTATTTTGAGTGATTCTTGACCAATTCAGATTGGTTCCTAGGGTTTTGGCATTTGAATTTGATTTTGAGAGTTTCGTGGCCAGTTCAGTTGGGTTTGAGGTAGTTTTAAGTCGATTTAGGCTGGTTTGAGGGTTTTGGAGGCTAGTTCATTATTTTTCGAGGTTTTGGAGGTTAGTTCACTATTGTTTAAGAGTTGTTAAGTAGAATTGATGAGGGTTGGCGAGTTGTATGAGTCTCGGGAGATGGGTAGTGAGTCTCAAGATACGTGCTAGGGTTTTAGAGTGGGATTTGAGCTCGATTTTTGGCTGTCGAGCCTGTTTCTTATGCTGGTTTTGGTGACAATAGGGATTTTGTGTTGTTTTGATTACAAATAGACTAGCAGAGGCGCACCCAGACTGGTGAGTCAGGTGAGGGTGACTCAAGGCTTCTTTCGTAACTCAACTTGTACTGTGAGTGACGATACCCTTCCTATGCATATATTTTTCATAATGTGTTTTCTTACATACTGATTATGTGGTTTTGTAAACTGTATTTTCCTTATATGTTACACTTGGGATATATGTTATGTGAGTAGTAATATGAGTTTCTTTATATTTTGCAAATGTTACAATTCACTCTATGTTTGCTTTAGTTTGTGAATATATGTGACTTTGTGGGATTATGAATGAGATACTTTATCTGAAAAATGCAAATGAGTGCTATGCACTTTAATTATGGGTGATGCGATTTT